TAGTTTATACACCTTCACCTCTCTCTTACTTGCTGTTTCTATTTTCCTTGTATCCCATCTACCTTTTACTCTCACTTCAGCTACAACTAAAAAGTGATCTGAAATATCTGTGGCCCCTCTATAAACATGTACCTCCTGAAGTCTACGCAACAGTCTTTTAACTCCCAATACCAATTCATTATTGTGGTATAATATCATTTATGCACAGTTGCTCGTCAAGGTCCAACATTTCCTAAGTTGAAAACTTCCTATATGAATACTATACACAATTCAGGAGGTCCAAAATGTGTTGGTAAGTTGAGGACTTACTGTAAGCCAACAAGAATCACCGAGACGAGTGCATCCACAGCTGACCACATCTGAAACTAATATAATATATCTCCCTGAAAACAGGGAGACGGCCAACTTGTTAAAAAAAAAAAAAAAAAAAAATACTGATTGCTGGGAGCAAGGGGCTAGTAACTCCTTCTGTATAAATTACTAAATGTAAAAAGAAAAAAAAAACTATGTTTCTTCTTTTTCATGTCACCCTGCTGTGGTGGGAGACAGCCGTTGTGTTGAAAAAAAAAATACTGATCGCTACCCCACCGTTCTCATAGCCAACATATGTCAGTTACCACTTGATACTAGTATGATGTCTTTTTATCTCCATGATGAGATATAATTAAATAACTTCACTACAGCAGTAAGTGACTATGACTGGCTCAGAGTTTACTTATGATCAGGGCATGGATAAATGGGTCAATAATTTTCTGCAAGAAATACAAAGCCTCTACAATAGACACTGTCCTATTAAAATTAAGCAGATCATAGTGGAAACTAAACAGCCCATGGCTAACATATAGCATTCTCAGGTCCATTGATTAAAAAACAAATATGAAAATAGTACAGACTGGGATTAGTAAGTAAAGAAAGCAAAAGCTATGCATCAGTACTTACAACGCTAATATTACTGTATTACGCTAGCAGGTTCAACAAGAGAGGTGACATGAAGACCTGGAACACACTCACATCCTGGGTTCCTATAAACTAACCAAAATCAAAGATATTGTCCTAACTAAAAACCAATGAACTTTATATCCAGCCTACTGAAACATCCAATGCATTAGTACATGATTTCTTCTCTACCACAGGATCAAGTCTTTCTAGCAAAATCCAAAGTATAAACAATCAGGTGAGTAATTACTGTATTGGAAGTTTACCTAAACTCACTGAAAAAGAAGCCAGGTAACCTAGCTCATGTACCACCACTACTGTTCAAAACTGTACAAATATTTTTAGAGTTATGTATATACACACACAACACAAACCACAAAAACAAGGAGTGAGATACTAGTACACTACCTAGGTTTATATTTCTTTCAACACAACGGCCATATCCCACCAAGGCAGGGTGGCCCAAAAAGAAAAACGAAACTTTTTCTTAAATTTAGTAATTTATACGGGAGAAGGGGTTACTAGCCCCTTGCTCCCAGCATTTTAGTCGCCTCTTACAACACCCATGGCTTACGGAGGAAGAATTCTGTTCCACTTCCCCATGGAGAAGGTTTATATTTAGTAGCATTAAAAACATGTACTGCACCCTGCACTGTCCCATTTGCATAGACTTAGGGACAGGAGGCTGGGGTTTTAGGTTACAAGGAATATCTTTCACAGTTTATATACTAAAGTACATCTAGCTATGTTTCCTTTCTCTAAAAATTAAATCAACACAAACTCCAACATTTAGTACAGGCATACTTCGTTAATACAGCACTTCGCTAATACAGCACCTTTCAGTTATATATTCATGCTTATTATTTTCATGCTTGCCTTGCTCTTAAGATGGCTTTTGGCAATTTTTCAATTTTTTTTTATTTATTTTTTTTTACTTTTGCATCTTTTTTAGGCCTAGTGCTATTGCATACTTAACCCTTTGACTGTTTCAGGCCCCTCTCTGAAACTGTCATTCTATGTCGCCAAATATTCGAAAAAAAAAAATTATTTTTTCTTATGAAAATGTTAGGAATATTTTTACTAGTGTTTTATACCTAAAAAAAAATTTTTGCCATCAGTACTTACCGAGATATAGAGCCGCAAAGTTTGCAGAAATTGACGTGCGTACGGCAACAGCGGCGACTGCCGCCCACCCGGTATTCTTTTATTTACTCTAATTCAAAGGTTTCTTGCATTTTTCATATTTTTCTTTTCCAGGTAACTTATGTGGCCTGTGAGACCAATGTAAGGTGCATTGTTCAATATACACTCATTATTTACAACACAATAACAGAACAAACTTATCACTATTAGTTTGTGTATACACTTTGTTACACAAACAAACAATACAAAACAATGTTTATACTATGTTCCATAAATATATACATATGTACAGTCACTAACCACGTTCCTAGAACTGCTGCAGCTTGTGGAACTCTTTGAAACATGGTATATGCAGAGGGCACTTCACACTCCTCACACATAAAACGAGTGTCTCTGCGTGTTTGTGGGCGTTTTGTGGTATGCATACATACATAACACCTCTTCTGAGCATTTTTCTTGGCAGTAGTAGGAGGCAGTTGTATGGGGTAGTGATCACCAGGCCTCATACGAGATGACGTCTGTGGGCGCTGGTCTATTGCAGGAGTGCTCCTTTGTACTTTGCAATTATTTGTCTGATTACTGACAGCAAAATTCACCATATTTTGGTGTTTTGTTGTCTTCAACTTGTATATATTATAAGCATTTAGCATAGAGATATCAACAAGATGGAAAAAAAGTTTGATATACCACTTATAACTCTTGCGTACACAGTCTGCAAACCCAATCTGCAGGTCACATTTGTCCACTAAGCGCATATTGAGGTTGTAGTCCATGACAGCTGCAGGCTTTAGAATGGGTTCATTGGTCTCTCTGTTGTCCCTGCCACTGGGTACCATTTCGTTTGTGTGAACTGATGTCAACAATGTGACATCACGTTTGTCATGCCCCGAAATGCCATGATGTCATTGGCAGCAAAGGCTTGCACCTCACCTCTGCGAGTGCAGGTCGAAAACCTTGGCATATGTTTGCGATTACCACGCACTGTGCCACACACGTCTGTCAAGTTCACTCGCAAGAAATCACTGAGTAAGGGGCTTGTGTACCAGTTATCAGTAAATAACATATGCCCCTTGCCAAGATATGGTTCCATCATTGTTCGAACCACATCACCTGAGATACCCAATAACTTCATGGTATCTCTCAAAGTATTACTGCCAGTGTACACAATAATATCTAAAACAAGACCACTTCTGCAATCACACAGTACAAATAGCTTTATACCAAAGCGTTTCCTCTTGCTTGGTATATATTGCTTGAATGAGAGTCTGCCTTTGAATAAAATCAAGGACTCATCAATAACAAGCTTCCTGAAGGGATAAAAATACATGCAGCACTTTTGTTTCAGGTACATAAACACATTTCTTATCTTATATAACTGTCGCTTCTGTCAGGCCTGGTTTTGTCTGAAAAGTGTAACATACGCAAACAGTATCAGGAAACGATTGACACCTATAATGTCACTAAAACCTGGAGTTGAAATCAGGCGATCTGTTGTCAGTATGTGGTGACAGTGTGCTTATACACATGTGGCATAAGCATTATTGTGGCAAAAAACAGGTACATCTCTGCCACAGTTGTCTCCTTCCACTTGTGTAGCCGTGATTTTGGTGAGAGAATTGTATTTGCCATGGTGTAATCACGGTATGTATTTTGTTTCCCTGGACAATGATGTCCATCAGGGGTTCATCGAAAAATAACTCAAAGCAGTCCAGTTCACTGGCATTGTTCCCAAGTGGACAAGATGGCTTTATTCCACTTTGTGTTTCATCAAAGTCATGGGGACTGGGAAAAAAACTCGTCACCGTCCTGCCAATCCCAGATGCGGTCTGCTGGTGGGGTCTGGATATTGTACCGTGGTTGTGGCTGTTGCAGGTTGTGGTGGTGCAGGTTGTGGCAGTGTGGGGTAGGGTGAGGCTGGTTGTTCTGCTGAGTCAGCCGCGTGGCTAGTAGCGTGGCCCGGTGATGGTGCCACATGGGCCGTGCCACCCTCACTATCACCACCACTGCCCTCCCTCACTGTCACCATTCATACCCATCGTTACAATATCGTCATCTTCACTATCAGGTCGTGGTGTTGGGCCACGGGATGTGCTCCCAGAGTTTCTCCTTCCCTTGGAACAACATATGAAACACTACCAGACCGCATGCTACGTCGTACATACTGGCGCTTCACTGGGAATATTCACTCTCACTGTCACTAGAACTGCTTTCAATGACCTTGAAATCACTATCACTATCACTGCTATCATCAGGGTGTTGTACACGACCAAATAGTTTTCCTCTTTCGTCCTGGTACACTCGAACGTGAACGTGAACAAGCCGGCACAGCACCAGAGGTCGAAGGTTGTGGGTCATCTGGGTTTTCGTCACTATTTACGTTATCCTGGGCACTTTTTTCGGTAACACTCACTTGAAAACCCTTGAATTCACTGTCACTGACACTTTCATCGCTGTTAGAGCTATCACTTTGGAACAAAAGACCTCCAATCCGCCGAGGAGTGAGGAACTTCTTACCGAGAGGCATGGTGAAAATGGACTGACAACATGGCGTTCCCACAATGCACCGCTAGGTCCCAGATTTTTTCACAGGGTGCACACCGACCACTGAGACCCATTCTCTCCCGTGTAGGCCTACCAGGCCTTTGGCGCTCGATTTGAAGCCGCTAGAATTTGTGCGTATAAATACGTCAGAAACATTGGCTCGTAAGACGTATTTATACGTCGGAAACAGTCAAAGGGTTAATAAATGATAGTGTAAACATGTTTTAAGGTATTTATAAGCACTGACAATTAAAAAAAAGACTGATTTGCTTTAAGGCAATATTTGCTTTATGTCAGTGGTCTGGAACCTAACCAATATTAGTGAGATATGCCTGTACAGCATTTGTTATCTTTAATGCATACTCTGTTCACAGCCTTACCATTAAATAAACCGGCACATCTCCTGCCAAGAGAGACTAATGGATGTTCTGCCACTGGTTTTAAGTCATTATTCTGAAGCTCAGATACAGTGATTATATCACGTGAAAATTCATGCACATGGATCAGTTCCCCGGACTGTAGCCATGCCACTTCTCCTGGTTGATCCTCGAGTTCTTTCACCACTATTGGTGTCATATTAGGAACATCTATTTGGAACAGAAGAATAGCAGGGACTCTGAAACATTTTTGTTTCTTTTAGTAAAAAAGTTATACAGTATTACAAATACTGTACAAAAGCATTGCTATATATATAATGAACTAAGTAATACTGCTGTATATAGGTACTCCTCACTTCATGTACACTCTATGTGAATGTCTACTAGTTATACAGTGAAACCCCGCATAACGATTACCTCCGAATGCGACCAATTATGTAAGTGTATTTATGTAAGTGCGTTTGTACGTGTATGTTTGGGAGTCTGAAATGGACTAATCTACTTCACAATATTCCTTATGGGAACAAATTCGGTCAGTACTGGCACCTGAACATACTTCTGGAGTGAAAAAATATCGTTAACCGGGGGTCCACTGTACTAGTATACTCTTCAGTTTCTGAAAAAAAGCATTTGCTGAAAAAAAAAAATTGCTGAAAAAAAAATTGCTGAAAAACAATTTTGCTGAAAAAAAAAAATTGCTGTGATAAAAAGAACTGGAGTAAGAATGAACAAAATACACACACACACAATTTAATAAACCTTATTTGGGAACTTAGAAACTACAAAACATCAATGTCTCATCATTTGACCTTATACTTTGTTTATATTCATATTCATATAGTTTATTTGGACTTGATACATAGTTGTACAAGGAATTATAGTACTAGTTGGGTGTACATGCCAAAAGCCCCTTGTATGCAGAGCATTATAGGCAGGCTTAAAATTAACTTAAAATTAACAAGCAATGAAAGGTTCAGTGGTAGAAATTACAGTAAACAATTTACAATATGAAGTTCAAGTGAGTATTTGAAACAATGAAATTTGAACATTTCAGTGTTGAAGCATTATAGTTGTACAAACTTGTCACATTACAATGTGTAACAAACAAGATCATCAATTTACTATATGTTGTCTTGAAGTTTTAAGATTTAAGTAATTGGGAGAATTATTGGTAATGTTAAATATTGGTACTTCATCTGCGACATTATTATTTTTTTTTTTTTGCATTTCATGCCCGAGATATTTTTTGTGGAGACTGTATACAGTGGAAGTAACCTGCTATACGCAATAAAAAATATGCTATGTGATCAGTATATTCTTGACAATGCCCCAAGGTCACCCAAACACAATAACACTGCTGATTCAATCTACAAACATGTATTTGTTTGGTGTGCTCATATTTGTTAGCACATTAGATCAAATTGGCCAAGAGCTACAGATGCATTAATTACAATTTTGTCAAAGCATAGAAACAGAAATAATTCATGTTAAGTGCTAAACCCATGGGGGTCATTCAGGCCAAGATATGGTGGAGGCTTGGTTCTCCGTCTAAGCACGAGACAGATGTGCTTCCTGTTTGTACTCAACTGTTTTGTTAAAACAGAATCATATAAGCCACCACACTGGCTGTTTCCCACCAAGGTAGGATGCCACAAAAAGGAAATATTCCCCATTAAAATTTTCCATACTTGAACTACTTTAAACCACAAACCGGGGTTCCCAATTATTAAATTTTAAATTTTTTACAACCAAATTCCACATAAAAAGAAAACCAAACAATTACCACTACGTTTCAATAAAAAAATAAAACCCAAAAATACCTTTTAATACAAAATATCACCTAAAAATAAAAATTTCCCCCTTTCTTACACAATTTTCCCACTTAGTCCCAAAATATTCCCATATAGTACACAATATTCCACTATAAACTACAATATACCCTAAAATACCACAAATATTACCAAAAAAGTCAACAAATATACCATTCTGTCCACAATATTACCACTAAAAGTTTACAAAAATACCACTACAAATCCACAAATATCCACTAAAAGTATAACAAAAATATTAACACTACAATACCCAAATATTAAAATATTGACCCCAAAATTCCTTTTTCAGTACCCAAATATTCCACTATTAGTACAAAAATATTACATAAGTACAAAAATTTTCCAAAATTAGACTAAAAAATTTTCCCAACTAGTCCCAAAAATTTCCCACAATAGTCTAAAATATCCCCAACAAAGTACTAAAAATTTTTACAATTTATATCCAAATATTACCATATAGTCCCAAAAAATTTTCCCAAATAGTCCCCACAAAAGAATTATAATTTACTATTAACCTTTTAAACACAAATATTAAAAATAAGTATAAAATTAAAATTTAAAACTAAGTATCAAATATTCCCAAATACAAGTATAAATATACAATAGTCTACAAGTATCACAACTAGTACACAAATATTACCACTATTAGTACTACAAATATTACCAGTATTAGTACTAAAAATTTATCACTCTAATACTACTACAAATATTACCACTATTAGTACTACATTATTACCACTATTAGTACTACAAATATTAACCACATTAGTACTACAAATATTACCATACTAGTACTAAAAATACCACCACTATTTAGTACCAAATTTTACCACATTAGTACTAAAAATTTTTCCCAAATATTAGTACTGCAAATATCACCACTACTAGTACCACAATATTACCATATTAGTACCACAATATTACCACTTTGTACTAAAAAATTTTTCACTTATTAGTTACAAATTTTACACTAGAATGTACAAATCACTACTACTACAAATTTACAAACACATTTACTACAATTACCAATTACTAGTACTACAAGTATCAAACTAGTACTACAAGTATCACAACTAGTACTAAAAGCAACACAACTAGTACTACAAGTATCACACTAGTACTACAGTATCACAACTAGTACTACAAGTTCCAAACTATATCAAGTATCACAACTAGTACTACAAGTATCACAACTAGTACTACAAGTATCACAACTAGTTCTACAAGTATAAACAATTTTAGTATCACAAAATAACAAGTATCACAACTAGTACTACAAGTATCACAACTAGTACTACAAGTATCACAACTAGTACTACAAGTATCACAACAACAAACATAGTACTACAAGTATCACAACTAGTACTACAAGCATCACAACTAGTACTACAAGATCACAACTAGTACTACAAGTATCACAACTAGTACTACAAAGTATCCACGAACAATAGTATACAAGTATCACAACTAGTACTACAAGTATCATGGATAATCTTCCAGAAGATCTATCAAATACAAAGGAGAAAAATGCTTCCCACAGAAGCAAAGCGTAATGTACCAGTCGGGCGGTTCCTCGATTTCACCGTCAACCCCAGAGGTCAAGATATAACGCAATGTTAAAGCTTCCCCAAACCCCACCACCACCACCACTCGGCAGCCTGGGGGACAGTCGTCTCCCAGGAAATCCCTGACCCTCTGTGGCTTGAGTTAAAGCACTCGAAAAGCCTAAGGACTGAAGCGGTGAAGAAGGATACTGGTGCCTCCATTTACCTTGGGTACCAAGGATGACCCTTCTAAATACCAAGCAAACCCAAGAAAAAGAAGCCCAAAAACAATCAGAATCCCCAAAAATCTTCAGGAAGTCGGGACAAAAATGAAAGGAAATGGGCTTTTGCTGCAATAAACTTAAGAAGAAAAAACCTTGAGCAGGCTTCAGCAGAGGATTGAAGGAATGGAATGACTGAGTGCAAGGCTTTGTAAAAAAAAAAAAACTCAAAGGCACCGAGCCATCCACGTAGTGAAATTCTGGGTGTTTAGTTTTGACTCTTCCCTAATCACTTTTTTCTTTTTTTTTCTTACCCCTTTCCCTTTTTTTTTTCTTTTACTTTTGTCTTTTATTTCTCTTCTTGCTTTTGTTTTTTTCACCCTCTTATCCCCTTTTTCTTCTTCCTCCCCATTTATTTTTGTTCTCTTGTACAAATAGGAAGGGTTTATCTTTCTGGTGTGCAGCAGACAATCAAACCTAGTCGTGTTCTGAATGACTACTGACCTTAGTGCTAACACGATTATTATTATTTATTTCTCATTCCATCTCTGTCTTTTTCTTTTAACTTCGATAATGGAATCTTAAGGGTTTTAAAATTCTCAATGGATATTTATTTTGTTATGTTCGACTGCCATCTTCATGGGTTTACCAAACGTTTTTTTGATTTCGAATGTTGTTCCCCACGATTGCTGTAACTGTGTCAGTAGCTATATGTTGTATTGCGGTTATTTCAACCACTAACACCATCATGATGCATACCATCACCTACCACCATATTACTCCCTCATCAACACCATCACGCTGCTATATCACTTCCTTAAAATGACCTAATTTGCCCAAATATTCTGCATAACAAAGGCTTTCTGTGTGTAGCTTTTGTCCCTGTCAGCTAGCCATATTACCTTGTAACATTACTTTAGGAATAAAGTTTTCCCTTATTATTGTACATTCATAGTTATCCCGCATCTCATTCATTCAACTGCAAATTCATTCTTTGCAATCAAATCTTCATTCATATGCTATCTTGCCCAATACATCAAATTTATTTAAATATTTTTATAATTTTACTCACTTCAAATGACTCTCAAAATTGCAACACCCCCTCTCCTTTGGTGTGCAGCACTGCACTCTACCTTGGAAATTTTTGAAAACCCCATGGGGGTTTTATGTACTAATGGGGGTAGGGGGTCCAGTAATGGTAATGTTTATTAAATGTGAATGATTTAGATTGCTTTTCCATGATCTAAACAAATGAACAATTCTTTAAGAGGATCGGACTTTGCAATTTTACCTGAAATTCTTTAAATCAAAGTTTTACTGTTCTAAACATTTTCCCACTTGCTCCCCACTCCAACGCAAATTTACCCTCAAACTTTCCTCTCACTTTGGACCCAATGCTATCAAATTCTTCATTACAATGCAAATTTAGGAAAGCTTAAAATTTTTTTTTTTTTTTTTTTTAAAATTTTTTTTGGGGGGTTTATATTTTTTTTTTTTTTGGGGGTTATGCCCCTTTTGGGGCAAGGGGAAGTTTCCCCGATGCTGGAACGGGGAAGGGGGGTTTTTGGGAAACCCAAACTCCCCATGATGCAAATCAAAAAAAAAACCCCCAAAAAAGGATATTTTTTGGGATGACCAACCC